AAGAATAAAAGAAATGATCACCAACTAAAGAAGCTCTTGATTGTTTAACAAATTCTCCTTATCAGCACCTTGGGAAATGTAAAGAGAACAGTATGGAGAATATGCATACAGATGTACAGGTGTAAAGGGTTAAGGCCACAGACAAATAACCAAGGAGGGGGAGGACGGGAGTTGCGTCCCGAAAATGAACTGGTGTCCCTTCTGGGAAACTAGAATCCCATGCATCAATATTCATGAGGGATAGCTATTACTCTTCAGGTTGCCATGCAAATGAATGTGTCCATATCAGTACAACTGGATATTTTTTTCTTTTATTAGAGAAAGCAAGAGCCTTACTTTTCTTGTTGCTGCTTTTTTTCTTCCTCAGTAAGAGGCTTGATTTCCTCCGTCGACTCAGAAAAGTTGGAATGTCCTGATCTTGCTGCATGCATCTTGAGAATAGAGAAAAAGTGAACTGGTTCAACAAAACATTCTAAACATAATTATTTCTCCTTTTAACTTCTAGACAAAAAACCTCCTCCTCCCCCACTTAAAAATTTTAAGAAAAAAAAATTACAAGAGTTCCCAGAAATATAAAGAGTAGAAGATTCTCTTTTAAAGTTAAGATGTTTTTTGGTATATTTGGTTCCTATTCTGTGGGGCCTGAGATTAATGATCAACAGTCAATATTCAATCTTTCCTCAAGGTTCCCTCTTTATTTTTAACTATGGTTTAGAGGACACTAAGAACAGTTTGAGTGTCTAATCAGTACAAAAGCAATTGTATTTTCTCCACATGTATTGCTGAATATTCAGTAGGAAAAAAATCTGTTTGGTGTTTTTTCCTCAATGAGACGTTTGCGCTCCAACCAATACAGTGAGAACCTTGGTCTTAGAATTACTTGATGAATAAATTCAGGGAAAAGAAAAAAACAGTGGACAAACCTGCACATCATTCTCGCTTTTGAGTCTTTTTCCACAGCTAGAAATACATTTAAATGTACCATATTTAGTTACTATGCAAACATTTATTTCAATCATTAATAAAAAAATTAACTCCAACATGCTGCCAGAACAAAATATCCTTGGTCCTAAAAGGAACTCTCATTTCAGCAATTTTGCCTTGTGGGCTTTCAATCTAGTGATTTGTACAAAGCACAAATCATTAGGTTGTAAAATCCAAGTTTACTGACTGGGTAACCTTGACAGATAAAGAACAAATTTACAGAAGAGCTTTATGCATGAACTAATGGAAACCATCAGTTAGCTAAAGTTGAACTAAAGTCAATAATTTTGGGAATTCCCTTTTGGGGTTGAATATCAATTGGGACATCGTCCTGTTTTCTTCTCCAGTTGCCGATGCTATTCTGTACGTGTAACAAATTTCAATAAAGTAAAGTAAAGTAAAGTAATTTAATATATAACAATAAATTAATTTATAACTGATCATCCATAACAATTATCTAAAGTATCTACAGTGACTTTAGATGCCCTATCGTCTGACATTTTTCACTTAGGTTATCAAACAACACATACAGAGGACGCCTTGACAGAAAATCAACAAAGACCAACATTCTAAGCAGTAATTATTAACAATATTCAGCTAAGAAAAGTAATTATTGAAAGAAATCTCACTCATCACAAACAAGAGATAGGGCTTGCTGGGGTTCTGCACTGGATCCAGCAGCAGCTGATGAATGATCTAAATTCTCAACTGGAACTTTCTCATTTGCTCCATCAGAAGAGGCTGCCTCATCATCTACATCATGATAAAATTACACACAATGTATGTAACAGAAAAATTTAGAGCAGGAGAAGTGCAGAGACTTTGAGAGAACTTTTATGGTAATGAAACTAAATGATTCAACTTTAAAGGCTCTGATACTTCATCTAACCATTTAACTCCCAAGATCTCAATGTATATTCTTCCTTCTAGCTGCTACACATCTCCTTGTCAATCAGGTACAAGAATATCGTGCTAGATCAGGATAACAAATTTAACCAGATACGTTTGAATATTCTCATTACCTGTTTGCTGGACATGTGCTTGTCATATTTTAGGGAAAAGTTTCATGTTAATCACTGGTGGGAGTTAAAGAGTTAAGAAATCAATAGACTTTGAGGTACAAAGAACAAGGTTCAAGCCATTTTGGTGTAGATATAGAGACAGAGATTCTTGTAATGTCACACTTGTGGCCGTATGAATAAAATCTTCATTCCACTTCAGAGCTCAAAATTTACCTCTTCCTTATACTATTTACTCACTTGACTCTTTCAAACTAACTCACCATAGTGTTCTCTGTGGCCAAATGGTAACGTATTGGTATCTTCATGTAAAATGTGAAGGTCTAAGGTTTATTTTCTTAGGGGGACTCTTATTTTCTCTTTGTTCCATATTTGTAACAATATTACTTCTTTTGCTATTTCATTAAAGAGAAAAGGCTTTACTACAGTAACTTTCTTATTCAGTTTTGTTACCTTGACCCAACACATGTCCAACAGGTGGTTTGTAAGGTTCATCAATGTCTGGATCTTCTGAATGGGCAAGGAGCCTGGACAAGACAAGACATGGTTACTGACAGTTAATTACGTTCCACAGGTAACTAATTGTTTACATCAAAAACTGCAAATAGCTAGGACTTGACCTTTGGGCAATGTTTTTGAGCTTGATTTAGAAATAAATATATTGTTGGATATGTAACAATATGGTACTTAAATGAAGAATTTACAAGGACAACAAACTGAACTTCAATTCAATAACTAAATTAGGGTGACAATATATCTAAAGAATTGAATCTAGAGTTTTTTAACCCTGTAACTCCCATAAGTGACCAAGACAGAATATCTCCTTACAATATCAATACAGTGTCAAGCAGACAAATGAAGAATAGAGAAATATCAATCAGGGGATTATTAGTTGATCCAATACCAAATTCTCCATACTAGCATAATAAGAATAGTCTAGCGGACAGTAAGGAGAATTACTAATGAGATCTTATCCTCAACACATGATTATTTGGGAATTTGCAAATGAACTATACAGTACTTAAATTTACTAAATCCAACTTCATTTCCGAGCTGAATTAACAATTCAGCTATCGTATGATTTTTTATTAGAATTCAGATATTATTTTTCCTTTCATTTTAGTCTATGTTATAATTTTTTCCTGATTAGGATTTTGTTTGACATTATGTAATTGCGTCAAAATTACATTGCCGTTTTTTGACATAAGTTCAGTCCAGATACTAACCATTCCATTGCCTGTTCAACGCCTTTGTTACCAGTTACGGCAAGGGCCTTCTCTCTAATTGAAGATTTGAACAATAAGTAGTTACATATTTCATTAAAATTTTTTTGATGAACTTGTCTCCCACATGGCGAGCGAAATTTGATGAAAAAATAGAAACGTCTCATTTTAAGATCTACTTACGCTCTGTTCCTAGCAAAACCCATTTCAACCAGAATATCAATTTCAGACATATTTATCTACGCTATCTCGCTTTTCCGTCTAAAAAGCATCCACTTCCACACTGTCTCCCACCCTGCAAGATCGGTCAGGCTGTATTGGGAGAAGTGATGCTTTCAAAGGAGAAGCGGGAATCCTGGGCACGAGTTCGTTCGTGAGGTAGAAGACAGTGAATGATTTCTTGTGCCGGGGATTGATGCTTTACGTCTTACAACGGTAAATAGTATATAGTGACCGTGAATGATGCCTTGCGAGAGAGATGTTGTCTACAATTTCTATGAATGATGCCTAGTGATGGAGAATACTGTCTTGTGACGGCAAATCATTTTCTACGGTGAATGTTAAGAGCGATTTCTAATGAAGGTCAATGATGACTCGTGACGGCAAATGATATATTGCGGAATGATACTTAAAGACGGTAAATGATGCTTAATGCTGGCGAATTAGGCCTAATAACGGACAGTGAGGTCACCCGTGTAATGCAGTGCATTGCTCGTGTAACCTCTCCGTCCCTTCGTGTCCCGCTTGATCCCGCCGTTTTCGTCCCGTTCCCTAACTAAATTTTCATAAAAGGACCACTGAGGCGTAACACTTTTTCTTTTATTTTTTTTCAATCCTGATTATAAAACAAACTGTCCGTGTAAAATTTAAAATAACGTCAGGCGACAAATAAAGTCAGTTTATCTTAAACATTTTGCAAACAAGTCACAATAAAAAGTGACATTAAACTTCTAACAAACTGTGATCATGTCAAATATTTCCGCTTTTGGAAAATCAATACAATTACACATCGTTAATCTCGCTTCCTGTGAGAAAAAATTCAATGAACGATGAGATGTGAAGTTGCTCAACAGTAGGAATTATTTCGACGATGTTGGTCCTTCCAGTAATAAACGCTCCGCCTTAAAATAAAAAAAAAATAAAAAGGAAATAAAAACATTTATTCGACTAAAACTACTAACTTGTGGATAGAACGCACCAGCTCTTCACATATCTTCAGCTAAGTTTTTTTCAAGTTTGCAACGTGCAAATCTTAGCTCGCTACATGCTATGGAAACCGATATAAGCTACTTTGGTGTAGATCACTAGGTACATGTGGAAGGCGTCACCTTCAATAAAGTTACAAAAAAAAAGAAACTTACCTCGAGTCGAGTCTTTCTCTCAACTCTCATGTACACCATCACGAGCGTTTCAGGGAGGAGCACTTTGCTGACATAATCAAAGTACTGGCGAGATAAAAATTGCAGAGAATTTAAGATGACAAAATTCTGCTTTATACCTCTCAGATTATCTTCCGTTAGAGATATGTTAACAATTCAGCCTGTCGCTGAGTTTAACTTAAACACAGTGTTACCTTGCTGTGTTTGTAACAAAACATGTTAGTGAGGACTCCCATTATCCTATCTCGCTGTTCTTCAGAAAATGACCCAAACTGTACTTGAAATGCCAAATCACCTGTAAATTACCAAGGTAAAATCACACAATAAGGCCATTATTTTCTCACTGTGGCCTAAACAGACCTCATCGATGTCGTTAAGATTCAATAGAAATATTGGGTCACGGTACTGCCCATTTGTACCCCTTGAATTCCGGTAGAGTGACTGAAGTGTAGGTGTCTTCGAATAAAAGCAATAAGGTTTCTTGGAGATCGCGAAAGAAGGGAAAAGTGACTCATTTTGAACAGGCCATGATGGCCCTGATAACCCGGGTTTCAATTTCAATGTGCATCACGCGAAAAAGCAAATGCAATCAAAACAATTAACAACAATAACAATAAAAAAAGAGAGAAATCAGACTGAAATGTAGTTTGCATTACCTTTCATCTTTCCACCTTTCTTGTAATCTTCATGGCGTCGACAATATATCTGTATCAATAAAGAGAGGTACTGTTTTTCTCTCAATCAATCAATCAATCAATCAATCGATCAGTCAATCAATCGATCAATCAATCAATCAATCGATCAGTCAATCAATCGATCAGTCAATCAATCAATCAATCAGCCAATCAATTAATCAATCAGTTAATTATTTGATCAATCAATCAGTCAGGCAATCAGTGTCCTTCATCTGTCTTTCAGTCCATCGATTGCGGCAATATGGCTATTTCAACACTCAATCGAAATCTCTTTTTCGCGATACGCAAAAGAAACACGTAACTACCTTGCCCTCAAAAATATCCCTCAGTTCACGGGTATACTCCCTCACCAGTTGCTCTGTTTGGCTTGCAGTGAGTTCCTCAACATTTCTAGGAGGGGTGTAACAGAAACTGATTAACTTTAAAGTAGTGATAAGTGAAAATGCACTGTCTCTTTAATTTCCTTTCCTAAAAGGTTGCACGGCAAAATGACATCGAATAAATGACAATATGGCTTTTAAATAAAGATACCAGCGTTAAGTCAATAAGTTTGTGTATTCCTATCACACTTTTGCTTAATAACAGCTTCGCATATTAAGGAGAATCTGCATGACTATCAATTTGTAGGTCACTCAAAGGGTTATCCTCAACTAAAAGAAATTACTGCACCCACCTTTAGAGTAACCACAAGCTGGTTACACTCTTGAAATTTGCATGTATAGTGGAGAAAAGCAGGAAGGAAAACTTAAAAAAGCTAGTAAAAAATTTGCAGGATATCAAGTAATATGTACCTTATATTCAGTTTCACAGGCTTGTCTTCTACTGCAATCGCACTCGCCGGACTCGACTCAGGCTCCTCAGTAACATCTACAGTTAAAAAAAGGAGGTAAAGATCTGAACACGGGAACACAATCGAGAAAGGAAATCGAAAAAATAAGACATTAACTCTGCGTATTCCGGTTACTTTCCCCACCCCTCTGTCCCTTCCCCCCTCCCGGTGGTCCCTGATTAAATTTCTTATCTTGACCCCCAAAAAAGGGAAACGAAAGAGAGGAACACCAGGCTTGCTGGGAAGAAGAACTATCAAAAACCGTGCTAAGGACTATGAACATGACCTCGGAGGAGACAAAGAAGGCGTCCCGTGAAAAATTAGGGCACGATTAAGGCCCTGTCCCAAGAGGAAAAGGAAACTGAAGCAGCAATCAGTTGTTTTACCTTCCAAATCGGTCACTGCTGTCCCATTCACCGTCTTCGCTTGTCGTGTAGTCACTCGCTTCCTTGCTAAATTTGCAGCCTTCCCACTCAAAGCTTTTCCTTTTATTTCTACCTGATTGGTCCTCCTTTTTTTGGAGTTAATAGTTCCCTTTGCGTCAGGTTTAACATTTGAAGAAGTTTCATTATCAGTTGAAAAGGCAGAAGAGAACAAGTCTTGATCATCGGACAAGTCCGAACCTTTGCGCTTTGCCGTGTTTCGTCTCACTTTAGGTGTCTCAAAATCGTTATCATCTTCTGTTCTATCAACAAGAGCTATCGCTTTTCTTTTATCTCCACTTTCATCGTTGGATACAGCTCTCTGTTTCTTAACGGTCTTGTACTTGGAAATTCGAGACCTAAGACACGGAACTGAATCAGAGTTAGTCGTATCAGATTCAGAAAAAGATCTGCGTCGTTTTAGCTTTGAAGAATTGGAAACAATCGATTCTGATTTATTCTTTTGAGTGTCTTTAACAGCTTCAACGTTCGTGACATCTTTCAAGGAATTGAAGCCGTCACTACAACTGGCTACTTGAGGAACATCTTCCTTCGTTACGGAGACGCTATCTGCACTGATATCATTCTGTGACCATTCCTCCTCGTTATCTTCGTTTCCACGCCTTTTGAGAATCTTTTGGTCATATTCGTCTTGTTTTGAGCCATTCTCGCTTTCGTGAAGTGGAACGACGTCGTGAGTTTCAATTTTTGGGCTGAACTGATTAACACAAAAGATATCTTCATTTCTTCCATCAGTTTCTACATCCTGAACTTTTGCTGAGTCAAAAACCTTAGAGTTTTCCTTTTCTGTTTCCTCTGAATCAACCCCAACAGGCAAATTGGAACAAACGTAGGATTCACTCTTTCCCTGTGAGTCGTTTTTCTTGTTCCTAACGGATAAAACAGCACACCATACACAAATGAGTAAAACAAAATCAATATTAAGACCTTTAGACTTAACGATTACTTGATCATCATCTGACAATCTGAACACAAGATCGAACATTTTGACAAAACAATTGTACTTTCGACATCAATTTGTTGACGGATAACATTTGCCCTTAGTCCATCAAAATGGCAAACATTAAAGAAAAGGTTACAGAAAAACATACAGGACAACAAATCTTGGTGAGATGAGCACTTCTACTTACAAATACTTCGAGGCAGCTCTGTTTTTCAGGGTTGAACGTGTGGCATAGACATTTTCTTTATTGAAGTACTTGCTGATGGTTGACTTGGGAGGCTGTTGTTCTTGAACATCTTCAGTCACCTAAATTGAACCAATTTTATCAAACTCAATAGCAGTGTTATGCAATTTCCTAATTCCGGTGGATGAAGTTTCTTTAGTCAATAAAAGCTACTGGCTGGACACTGTCACTAATGGCAAGTACTAAGGAGATTTATCAAAAAAAGCCCTTAATCACAAAAATTGTTTTGGGGGAGGGGAGATTATTTGCTTGTGTTTCCACTGTACACTGATCGATATACCCCTTGTGCCTTTAACCCTTTACCTCCCATGAGTGACCAAGACAGAATTTCTCCTTACAATATCAATACAATATCAAGCAGGCAAGTAATGAGAATAAAGAAAAATATACATTAAGGGAATTTAATTCTTGATCCAGTACCAAACTCTCCAAATTAATATCATAAGCATTGTATGGCAGACAGTATGGAGAATTAAAATGAGATCTTAGGAGTAAAAGGGTTAAGTGTGAAAGTGCAAGATGATTGTTATCATGAATAAATTAAACAAGAAGTATGTGCACTAAATACTAGTGCATGCTGATTATAATCATGAAATGTCCACAGATATAATCAAAGAACAACTTACCTGTGATTTTGCTGCAGGCTTCTGATCACCAGGTTGAGAATTTAACATGACTGTAACATGGAGCTTCTCTGGATAGAAAACACAGCTTTCATAGCCACCACCTGAAAAACAAAAATCCCCAAATGTTTCAGAAGAAATTCTTCAAGTTTGCTCCAAGCCATTATTGAAACCTGTGGGTGACTTGATGTATAACTATCTTTGGGCCAAGCTCCCTTATGTACCCATCCATCCATCCATCCCATCGCTCTGATGAAGGGCTAATGCTTGAAACGTCAGCTTTTTTACCCTTACAATGGCTAATTTACGTTTTCAACCCGGTTGTTAACACTAAATTACCTGCTATACTCTCCCACCGACGCAGCACCACAGTTTCTTTAGAAACTTACCCCTTATTCCCTTATGCACCCTCTGATTCTTCTTCTAACACATTTTTGCACTAAATACCAAAATACTATATGTACTCTAAGCAATGGTGGCTTATTATTGATTTTGTCCAACAACAAATGTGGTCCAAAGAAGAAAGAAGAAAGAGGAATGAAAGAAGGAAACGAGAGAACTTCTGGATTCTATCCTCAGTCACAACAATTTGAGGTGAAATCTCTCACTGTTTCACCATCTTTGCCTCTCCAAAATTATTGGAATTATGAGCAAGCCCATTGCTTATTAAGTGAGACTGACCTAAAAAATTTAGATCACCTGAACTTGTGTGACACACTCCAGTTACCAATTAGATATTTACTTCCATAAATATTTTCATCATAACATGACACAGAATTAAAATCACCTGAATAGTCAGATTGCTGTACATCCCTTGCCACCTTTGGATCTCCTGCTTCCGACTCATTGGAGAAACAAGAAAATTAAAATAAGGAAAACTCAATAGTGATCAATAATCATTAATTTGCACAAAGCAGGAGCCTTATGACCGAGTTGTGAGCAGTCTATGCCACTGGAAGTTTTTAAGGGACTTAAGATGAAAAAAATGAGTGGGATTCACAAGGTAATTTGGTGTTATCAACTGAGTTGATAATATAATTATGTAAATTGGCCACTGTTAAGGTTTCAAAAGCTGATGTTTTGAGTGTTAGCCTTCCACTGATCAAAAGGAGACAGGCTAACACTCAAAACGTCAGCTTTTGAAACTCTTAATGGTGGCCACTAAAATGTTACCAACTCAGTTCATAAAACCAAATTACCTTGCTATACTCTCCCACCCACGCAGCACCATAGTTTCTTTAGAAACTTAACCCTTTTATTATTGAGTAGGATTTTAGTCTGTCCCATTTCTACGGCCAAAAAACCAGCCATCTAGACCAAGTAATGAATCTTCATTGCAATACTAGTGGACGAGCCCATTCCAGGCATTCAGTTGGTAAAATGGAGAAAAAAGTGAATAAAGAGGACATTTTCATAACTTTTTCTGTCACCAGTTGTAAAGTTGCACAAAATTATCCTCAAGAAAAAAAATTGGTTTATTAAAAAAGTATAACATATTTAATATACAATTATTAAAGCTTATAAAATATAATTACTGTCCTCACCTCTTTCTTCTGAACCAAAACAATTTGCCCACACATTCTTTTCCTGACAAACTGATACTGAATGAGCAGTTCATGATCTAAAGGTAAAGAGTGATTTCTCAAACCATTATCATAACAAAAAATATAGACAACTTTATTGACACCTCTTTCAAGTAATTTAATTAAAATGAAGTTCTTGCTAACCAGGTAATGTTTCAGCACAATCACATTGTGACATCCTATCATTTTTTCCTTTCTTCTTGCCTTTGGTTTCTGATGGAGCCAATACTCTTGCAAGAATAACATCCTGCAGTTTTGAAATCAACCTCTATAGGTCATAAGCAAAATAAAGAAAATAAGAGCAAATTTTAGTAATTTTTTTTTTGTTCGTTAGCATACAATTAGTAATTTTTTTTTTTGTTTGTTCGCATACAATGAAATCACAAGCTACCTTCCACTCAGCCTCCAAAGCAGAGGTTTTGGTAACATTATACCCTAAATCAGATTTATACAGACTTTAAATGCACAAGATCTGATTGTTAATTCTCTTCTCAAGCTGCTACACACTTTGTTGTCAATTAGTTCAGAAAATTTGGTGTTAGATCAAGACAACAACTTCTGCTTGTTAATTTAGAATATTTTTATCTGTTTGCTTGAAATGTAAGGATTTTGTAAGAAGAAGTTACGTTTTAATCACTCCGAGAAGTTAAAGGATTAATTACCATGATAAATATTGGTACACATTCCAGAGGGCTTTGCATACAGCTTATGGCCCAAGTTTGGAGATAACTGGTCTGAAACACTTAACATGCGCATAGTATTCAGAAGTAATAGATGATCAATTATTACACAAAACTCTACTGACACGAAAGTGTTCTTCTGTAAACCACTTGTATTTGTTGTCTTTATTTTCTGTCGCTGGCTGATTTCCAAGTGAACATACTGGATGTATAAAAACCTCCACCATCAATACCTTGCGATCAAGAACCTAAAAAAATAAATCCAAATCTATTTTCTAATGCAAAAAAAGCTTGTCACAGAGCTTGAGAGAAAAGAAAATGTATACAATTTCATTAGACGAATACCAGTTCTTGTTGCGATTTTTTACATTTCTCACAAATTAAAAGCTGAAACATGATTCAAATGAAATAAAAACCTGCTTTGCTAATTTGGAATTCGAAGTTAACTAAATAAGGTGAATTGTCGATTCAGGTTAATGACAGTTCAGTGTGTGTGTTATTGTAAAATTTAAATTCTACGTTCCATTTATCCATTAAGACCATCTAGCTAGGTGTACGTAGTATATTACCTTTGCATATACTATGCTTTTCTTTGAATTTGGCTTCATTGAGGTATTTCACTCTGTTATTCGCCTAGAAACTGTCGATCAAGGGAAGTAAACTGGCAAAAAGAAACGACCGCCATTTTGGAAAAGATTGGCGGGAAATCCTCAAAGAACACTGGGAGCCAGTAAAAAATGCCCAGAAGGTCTGGGGAGGAGCTATTTTAAAAATGGCGCTGAAAATGGATATTATTTCATGAAATTCCGGAAAGGAAGCTGTGAAGTTAGCTGTTTATATCATGAATATTTTATGTGAAGTTGCCAAGCGTAATTCACCGTAGGCCTTTGTTTTAGTTGGGACGGTTGACTACCCTGTAATTGGGTAAAGGAAATATGGCGAAAAGTTATGACTACCTGTTTAAAATTCTCCTGATTGGAGATTCAGGGGTTGGAAAAACTTGTATTCTCTGTCGCTTCGCCAACAACGAATTTAACAGATCACACATATCAACCATAGGTAAGCTGAAAAAAATCAGTCGGGGAAAAATCTTCCTTCGCTAGAATTATTCAGCAGGTTGTCACTGAAATACCTGTAATTTGCTGTATCAATTAATAATTCTGCATCTTTCTGTATTTTCTAGGAATAGATTTCAAGATGAAAACGATTGTTGTCGAAGGGAAAAGGATCCGAATACAGATGTGGTAAGCCATCTTTAGATATCCAAAATCTTCTCTCGCAGTTTGAACGCTGGTTTCCGGTGTTAAGGCTTAACAACATTCTCACTATGGAGGTAAAGAGGACGGACTCCTTTGCCTTAATTTTGTTCTTAAATGATTTTTGATGTAGTTTTGCCATAAATCTAAGGTACAGTAATGCGAAACTAAGTTACATGTAGGTACTTTTAGTATCGAAACCATTTTACATAGCGCTTAAGCTACCGACGCTTGTGAAGAACTCGGGAACAACACTAATTTCACCGCTTCCTCTTTATCCGCGTACGAAGATGCTATTAAGATGATGTTAACGTTTCATAAAATAATTTACCCCTATAGCTGTTTCATTGTTATTTACTCTACTTAATTCATTTGAAACGCCAGTCCGCGACTGTCTTCGTATGTCCCTAAATATACTTCTCCGAGACGATCACGAGAAGATTTGGTATATTCTAGCTTTTTCCCTTTCGATTGAGAACAACTAAAAACTTTGTAATCCACATCGACTGGTTTCGTCTCATCAATATTTGGTCGTGTTTATTTTGAAGCGCATACATGAGGTGTTATTTTCGTCAAACTCGTTGGTGCAGTTTACCATATCGATTATAGCCAATTTAGATTTTATTACTCTATGCTACATTTAAATTTTATTGCGCCCATTAGAAGATTCTTAAGTGCCGCTCTTTCAGCGGGACATTTTGAGCTTCACCGAGATACGTCTCCTCGTCAAGAGTATTTAGTGGAAACAGTCAAATTTTAGCGGAATGTTACTTCCTTTTACGTTTCCTTAAACTATCTCAAAGTTAGTCAGACAATTACATCATTATGATTATTGTAAAGTTAAGAAGGTTAAGATGCTATTTATTGTTTTATTGTCTGGATCAATTGCTCAGCCTTTTTCTGTTAAAAAGCTGTATTTAAAGGAATTATCTTTAATGTGGTTGAACTCCAAGGAAATATACCCAAAGAAAGCAATCATTTTTCAGTAAAATCTTTATTGAATTTTCCAAACCAAGACCAAATGTTTTCCCTAATAATTACAGGGCCACTGAACTCTCCTTTGTTTATCTTATCATTTTCTAACCTTTGCTCGGATGACTGAGAACTGAAACTTTTTTTTTTTTGGACTAATGGATCCCCTAGCAATTGCATGACAAGCAGTGAGACAATAAAATCAATCCAGGCCATAATTTGGGGTTAAATTTGCTTTGATTTGTCAAAGAGGATCTTTGTAAAGTAGTATGATTTAAATAAAGTGCTCAAGGTTTAATGTTTTGCTTGATTCATTGTTTATGTAGTGGAAATTATGATATTAAAAGAATGGTGGACTTTATCCATTTAAGTGGAGGGTCAATTATTTATATTTGAACTGATCTGTGCTTCTTAAATTCAAATGAGTACAACTATTCAGGATTTCTTGTTGTCTAGGGAACATCTTGTTTCTAAAAGAATGTTGGAAACCACCTGGGAAGTACTAGTAAAGTCGCTAGCAATTGCTGTTGACAGATGTGAAGTTATATTTGAACTGATTTCTGTTTCCTGACTCTATAGGGATACAGCTGGTCAAGAGAGATATGAAACAATCACAACACAATACTACAGAAGAGCACATGTAAGTCTAGTGGTTGAATTCATGTGCATATTTGTAAGATATGTAGTCTTTACTATGATTCTCATTATTATATAGTACAATCATATCTATGGACACAAATAATATTTTTTGAAGAGCATGAAAAATTATTTAAATCTGTGAGAATGACCTCAACTCAGCTGGGGGACCAATCTATTTTCAGTTCTCTAGAATTACAATTAAAAAAGACTCATTAGTGATGTTCCCTTTTGGTGAAATAAAAGCAAATATTGTGGGGGAAAAGAAGACAGGAACAGTTTCAGTGTAATGTGCCACAATTATCGAATGACTTACTTCAGATGAAATGAATGTCAGAGGAAATAATTTTATGGCTTTGACTGGTGTCCAACCACAGGGGTTGATTAAAAGCAAATGTTACCTCCTTTTCCCCTTTCATCTCTCTTCTATATATTCTATGTGCCTATGAACATGCAGTATTGGTTGATATTTTCTTTACTACCTTTCAAACCTTTTAACTCTCACAAGTGATTAACACGTAACTTCTTTTTACAATATTCCTACCTTATTCAGCAAACAGGTAACGAGAATACTCAAACTTATCATGTAGAAGTTGTTATCTTGATTTAATACCAGCTCTTGTAACTAGTTTACAAAGTAATTGGTAGCAGCTAGACAGGAGAATTGACAATGATATCATTGGAGTTAAGGGGCTAAATTAACTCTTTAACTCCCATGAATGACCAAGACAGAATTTCTCCTTTCAATATCAATACAATATCAACCAGATAAGTGATGAGAATAAAGAAAAATATCCTCTTGAGGATAATTAGTGGATCCCATACTAAATTCTTTGAACTAACATTATAAGAATTGTATGGTTGAAAGTAAGGAGAATTGCAAATTTGATCTGGGAGTTAAAGGATTAGTAAATCTACAACAGGGTCAAATTTTTTCTGGTGAGCAAATTCAAAAAGGGCTTGTTAACTTGAGTGTGAACTTGTCAGATTTATCAGCTGTGGATACCACATAATTTTAATTGATATTTGCAAGTCCATCTGTGTCAATAACTTTGAATGAATTTCCTTTAAATTTTATTCTTCCTTTTTACAGGGAATAATTCTAGTGTATGATATAACAAGGCAGGAAACATTTAATAACATTAGGAAATGGCTTAGATATGTTGATGAGGTGAGTGTTACAGGGATTTTCCTGACTTTCTGTCCATCTTTAACTTGTTAAAAAACATTGGGTATGCCTTGGTTAACAGGTAATTTTTTTTTCTTAGCATGCTAACAACAATGTTCAGAGACTACTACTGGCAAATAAATGTGATGCTGAAGATGAAAGAAGAGTTTGGAAGGATCAAGGAGCAAGGGTTGGTATCCTTTGAAATCTTTCCATTCATTTGATATTTATTTAAAAAGAGGAAGGGCTACAATTGTCTTTAATTTTTAGACTACAGAAACAACTCCTATGAGTTAAAGATCTATCAGTGATTTTCCAATACAGTATCTTGTAACACAAACCTTTGAAAAAGTGTTTGCATTTTACTTTTCAGCTTGCTGCAGAAAAAAATATCAAGTTCTATGAAACAAGTGCACAGTCCAATATAAATATAGATGAGGTAAGAGCCGAATTACTGCCAAGTTTTAAATGGAAATTTATATCTCCATTTTACTTTTTATGTTGTTTTTCCAATCTTTCTCCCATTTTAAGGCCTTCACAGAAATATGCCGACAAATTTTACAAACTATGGATGTGCCTGACCAGGTAAAAGTTTGTCAGCTTAGACAGTGCAATATGTATGACCTAGTCTTATCTATAATAGCTGCTGATCAGTATTGATTATTGGTAACTGAGGATTTGAAGGGTCAAAACTGAGTTTGCATAGAGTTGTAGAACTCTTTACTGAGAAGTAGTTTACTAGTCAGTTAAGCTGAAATAAAAATAGGTTTCTCTCAGAGCCTGTTTGATAAAAAAAATTCGTGGCTCCAGAGACAAGAATTAGCCACATGCTATAAGTTGCAGTGAACATCAGTCAGAGTTCAGTGCCAGCCCACTGGACTCCAGATAGAAAAGACTAGGTTTTGTTCCTTGGACAGGTCACTGTGTCATGTTCTATGGTTAGATGCTTCTTTCTTCACTGGAAAACATGAAGGAGGAACTGTAGACTAGCTTTCCATCCAGGAAGAGTGGAGCACACTTTCTAATTGAATAGCATTAAAAAAAAATTTGGGATTGACCAATCAGAAAAAAGGAAAAATTACCAGGAGCCTTAAAGTAAAAAAATAATCACTCAAGGCATGATTGGTTTTTGTCAATTTTGCATCTGATTCATTGAGAGGGTGAAACAAGCTTTGCTGAAACTTTCACAAGGTGAATTCAAACATAAGTATTTTAACCTTGGAAAACTTTTAAGACTTAATTTCAAGTCCCTAAATGCTTTAGAACAAGAATTTATTCTGTCAGTAGTTGACCACTAGGCATGTATTGTTTACTTTAGAATGATTACTTTGCATATCATGTATTTCCTTATAAAGTGTATCTGATCTTATTCCATAGAATGGAAGAATACTCTCCTCTGCTGGTGAGATTGGATCAAGTGCAGTACTCTTGGACACGAAAAATGAAGTTCTGCCACGGAGCTCTTGTTGTTATTAAATAAATTAATTATTAATGAATTTAGAAATATTTCTTATTATAAACTTATTGATAGATTTTGTAGCAAGACTACTAGTATTTGGGATTATTAGCCTTGTAGAATCTGCCCATTTGGCTCACTTTTATAACTTGCATTTATCCAGAGATCTTGTTATGAATATTTTGTATAAAGATGGTTTAGAACTCAATGTGACTTATGTATGAAAAACAGGAATAGTTTTGAAACTTGAAATACTGAGTAAACATCTAACAGTTGCATTGTCAACTACTAAAAATTCTCTCAGCTGTTTCATGTTAGTATTAATTGTATTATAATTCTGTATCTGCTGCAAATGGAAATTCATCTGACACTCAGAAATAGGGTATTGAATCTAGTCTGTTCACAGACTTTATTTTTTTTCTCAAGAGAATCATTGTGCTTCTTTGCTAAGTACAGCAAAAAAATGTGTATGTCTCTGGACAAACTAATTTCATTCCTGTGCTTTATGTTCTGTTCTCCATATATGACAACATTAAATTAATAGGCTAACTTTGTAATACTTTTTATATTTAATTATTGGCCGGTCTATAACACCCTTTGCTGTTTTTAGGGACAGGTCAAACAGTCCACAGTTTGCCAGTAGTGAAGCAAAAGTAAACATATTTTGAATAAGAGCAAGTAATCAGATGATTTAAGGGGAAAGTATGAAATGAATGGGTCTCAATATAAATATAATCACTGTAAAATACAAGATGTGACTTAAGTCAGGGAAATAAGTACTTCAGCCATATATATTAAGAAAATTAAGGATGCACTGGCACTACTTTTTTTGGCAAAACTTTTTCATAACTACATTGTTGTAACTGCAAATAAAAGTAGTTTGTGAGGATTGTATACTTGCCTGTCTTTTGTCTTTTGTTTATTTTTACCAAATTAGTTATCATTCCCAATTATTATCATCAATAAACTTTGTTGCAGAGTGCTGATCTCCTTGCAAAATTTCACTGAAATTGCATTGCACTATTCTCACTTCTGGATAATACAGGCTGTTGTGGGTTTTACAAAACACAAGTCATAATCAGTCATTCTACATGGAAGCTGATAAATGTTTACATTTTTGGCAGAAAACATCATCATTGTGGGAAATGCCCCATAATAGTGGGTGACACTTTCACAGCAAGTTTGGAAATAGGTGTATTTCTGCTGAAAACCCTTATCCACCACCCAGGTGTTAATTTTTCTCATCATCTCCTTCACCCTAACTCTAAATCAAACATGGGCAGTCAAATTAATTATTGTGGGCTTGTAACATTAACTCTTCCTATCAAGACATCTGCATTGCAGGCTGAAGTAAACCACTTTTAACATCTTGGGATCCTTGTCACATCATGGTAAGTCTGTTGGTCTCTGGTATAACTTATACCACAGGCCAGCATTTAGTTGCAATTGTCAAGGTATCCATGGTTTATCCATTGAATAACACTGACGGTATATTTGCATTTTTATTTTTACTTGAGCTATTACAGGAATGCTCAAGTCCAAGAATGAAAGCACTTTGTTTTTTTCTTCTTATCTGGTTGCCAAATCTGCATCATGGTCACAGGCATTCCTGTCACCTGTCTTCGGTCTTCAAGAAGTATCCAAGTACTTTGTGAATACTTGAACCCATGCACTGCTCAAAATACTTGCGAGATTTATAAGATAAGTAAACACACAAGCCTCCTTAAAAATTTATTCTCTGACATTATTCAAGAATATTTTCCCAGCAAATTTAGATTGTTGTTTCATATAAAGAATTACCAAAACAAAACAAACCAGTGCAGAGTTATGGTACAACAATATTTTATTGAAGAGAAAGCACCATTTACATGACTGTAATTCTGACAACTATAGCACTTCAGGGTGCATTTGAATTAGGTCCCCTTCTTTTTCCAAATCCAGCAACAACATTAACAAATCGCCTGTTGTATTGCATTCTTCGCTTGGCACGGCCAGTCTTCTTCTTTTTCTTTTCTTGCTTGTCAACCTTTGTAAAAGGTAGGAACCATGTTTATGTACCAAAAGCCAATAGTTTCTTCCATGGCCTACCTGCTGCATCTTAATTATTAACCCTTTAACTCCCATGAGTGACCAAGACAGAATTTCTCCTTACAATATCAATACAATATCAACCACATAAGTGATGAGAATAAAGAAAAATATCAATTTGGGAATAATTGGTTGATCCAATACTGTATTCTCTGAACATTATAGGAATTGTATGGTTGACAGTAAGGAGAATAACATATTTGATCTGGGAGTTAAAGGATTAATATCAACAGGAACACAATGATATGGTAAGCTTACACTATGTACAGAGTTCATAAATGACAATGGAAAGCTCAGGGCAAAAACTCTTTATATCTAATTTCCTCCTTGATTTCACTTTGCTTCTTAGAAATATGGTACAGCATGTGGAAAAAAAAACAACAACAGAGAAAAACACTTTGATTTCCCTAGAAAGGTTCTTTAGCATGTTTTTATTGATAAGCGTGTTGACGAAGACAAGTTTAAAAAGACTACCTCAGCACTTTGACCACAAAGAGTGAGTAGCTTCTAGCTTCTCAATTCAGTATCCCCCCTGAGTCACACATTATGGTCATGAGAATAAAGGAAATGACCACCAACTAAAGGAGTTCTTGATAGTAAAACAAATTCTCCTAGTCAGTACTTTAAGAAATGTATAGAGAACAGTGTGGAGACAATGCATACAGAAGATAGGGTGTAAAGGGCCATTGGACAAAAGACAGAAACTTACCTTAGGTGTTTGTCCCTTCACTTTACCAGCACGAGCAAGTGAACCGTGGACCTTACCTATGTGAGAACAATGAATAGTTATGGATTTTCTCTAAAATTTCTTCCAGGAAAATGCCAAAATATAGTTTGATCAAATATTGAAAGGTTCCAGTCTGGGAAAGCTGTAGAGTCATGTCACCTTCACATACACTGTAGGTATCATTGTAAGGATTGACAGGACTCTACATGAGCATGTAGAATTCTGTTGAGGTGATCCAGTGGTATTTAGTTGAATATAACTAAGATCCACAGCAAAATTACAGTGATAGAAAAGGCTTTAATACTCTAGTTTTCTCGCATAAATTTTCTCACACAACAACAAAAGATCATGGTTCTCACAGACAGCAGTATTTCTATTGCAATAACCATAGAATTTCCTACATCAAATAATTAAAAATCTATCACACAGTAGTGTGTCAAAACCATATGTTACGACTGCCTTTTCCATCCATTAATATATTATCGACAAATGTAAGGTGTAAATCATTTGTATCATAGCGATGCCAAAACAATAAAGAAAGAAAAAACTGCTGAGTCGTAATTAAATAACATGAAAAATTTCCTCACTTTTCTTCTGACCTTACAGCCGAATATTTTTGGTTTTCCCTGAAAATTTCCCTAACCATGTAGAATGCAAATTCACCACTTAGATCATCTGATAGTTTTTTGGAAAAAAAAACTAATACTCTGCTTTCTAAGAGTACAAAAATGTGACAAACAGAGCCCAACTCTTTGAAATGCAGAAAAATAGATCTAGCAATATATAAACAAATCGATTTAAGGGTTTATACCTCCGAGCAAGCGAAGCCCGACTTCCAAAGTAGCCAGATCAACTACCCCACAATCCACAAGGCTCAGTTCATCCTCTAGAGGTTGTCCAGCGTAGAAGAGAACCTGTTCATCGACAGAGATGCCCTCAGCAAAGGCGATTTCATTCTTGAGATACTGGACACTCTCCGTGCCAGTGACATCGAAAGTATGAAGGTTTTGTCCGCGAACAAATAGCTGCATCTTGAATTACCTATCGCCAAAAGGAACAGCAATAATTACTGATACATTTTTCTGATAGAGAGCTCACCAGTGGACTCTCTGTAATGTAAATATAGCGAATTTATCCTTGCGTTCTTACCGTTTACACGTGGTGGTGCAACCAAACTTTCGTAAAGGAAGATACCTTGCACTGCGCATTTATTTGACGCATGGCGCCAAGTGGCCGCCGGGAGTAGAGCCTGCGATGAGAATGTCAGCTGTGTAATCAAGATTCTTATAGATGTGTGGTGTTAATCTATGTTTAAAATTGCATTACACAAGATGGCGGCCACCGTGGCGGCAGCGTTTAGTAAAGTTTGCAGATCTTTTATTTCTTCAAATCCAGCGCTTCAATCTCCAACTGCAAGAGGATTAGCCAAGGTTAAAAATCGCCCACTGTGTTTTTTTATACAGAATTTTATTTACTGATTTCTCTAATTTACTTCTTTTTCAGGACACGCTTCCTTGTTTAAGAAGATTGGTTCACACTGATGGAATTAGCTATGAATTTAAGCCAGATAGACTTAAACAGATTAACGCATCACCCAGTGGATGGGTTCCTCCTGCTACTGGTATGTATTTTTTGTACAGCTGATCAATTGCTCGTCGAAATATGCGTAGTTCTTTACGTTACGCATCTATCAATAGTTTTCCAAAGTCATTTAAGTTTCCCGCCCTTGGGTGTCCATTCTATGTCAAAATTTCACTCCTGGGACCCCAAAGACGTTGTTTGCCAATTTTTATTCCAATTATTTACCAAGAAATGTTGTTAGGTGACTTCCAAGGTGGCAAGGTGGTGATGACTCTCATTTCCAGTTTCACTCAGTCTGTCAAGGTGGTGACTAGGTCAAACTTAATTCCGGACCCTGAGGCTGTGCGTAGATGTCCTAATTCCTACCCAAGGGGGTTTCTCTCCCTTCCAGCCATCGATAGGTGCATTACTTCCCCCCAAACTCTCACTTGTATGTATGTCATTACAGTAAAGCCAAATGTATGTGTATCTTTACAGAAAAGCCAAACTTGCCTTTCTTCATTAAAAGAAGCAAATACAACAACATTCCAGTATATACGGATTATAGAAGTGGAAGAACTCGAAAGTTAACGATAATAAGAAGAGTCAAAGGAGATCTTAAGGTAATAAGGATTGATGTTAGTGGTATGCAGCAATTACTTGTGTATCAATCATTTCTTGGGGTGATTGTACAATGACCTAATTTCATACAAAGCTGTTGAAAAGCCTTAAGTGCCTCAATTCAGTGAAGTGAAAGATGAAAGCATTGAGTGGTTAAGGTATTTTTTTAACCTCACTAAATGCCATGTCTGACTACATGATTGTTGTTGGTGGTTCACTAAGTTGTATGTCATCTTGTGAAAATTTTCACGATCAATTAAAATTTAGGGATTGAATAATCAGGTGATTATTATCCATTACTATTATCCATTAAATAATGGATTTAGGGATTGAATAATCAGGTGTAAAATGAATTGAGAACAGACATGTTAACTTTATTAATAGAAATGCTAGCATCTGGTAATTTGGAATCTGGTGTTAGATTACACCATTCACTCACATGGCAATACTGAAATATTGATTATGTCTTTGGTACTGAATAGTGTTTTTAATGTATCCAAAATATCATCAGTGTTTTTTTTTTTTTTTTTTTTTTTGCAAGGCACTAGAAGAATGTCTGAAAAGTCACCTCGGAAATGATATTATTACCTCAAGAAATGAACTGACAAGCCAAGTAAAAATAAGAGGAAGTTACAAAGATGAAGTCTTCACGCTGCTGAAACGCTTGGGATTCTAGGAATTCCATATCAAAGAAAAGTACTTCTTTGAAATATTAGAGAAGTCCATAAATCTCCTTTGGATGTGGATTACTGGGAAGATATGTTGGTGTGATATGCCACTGAAGTTAACAGCTATCATGGATGTAAAAATGTTTCACCACTCCAGCAGATATTGGGCTCAAGAATCAAATATTAAAAATGCTCAGCATGATGAAGTGAAAAGTTTATCAATATAAAGTCAACAACCATCTTTGTCTCAGCCCTTTGACCCCTAAGAATGACAGTAATAACATGTAGTTTCTCCTTGAAATATCACACCTGAATCACACATGAAGGTCACAACATAAAAGGAAATGATTGCATGATAAAGAAGCTCTTGATTTTTAGAATAATTTAATTTTGTCAGCACCTCAGTAAATGTATAGAGATCAGTAGGGAGAATATGCATACTGATGTTAGAGTGTAAAGGGTTGGCAAATGGGAAATAAAAATTTCATCATGCTTTGAGGGAATGTTTCTTTTTCAGTGCTAATATGTAACTGGATAGATTCTTCTAACAGTCTCAAAGTGATGTGGATGGATTGAGAAGGACGTTCAAGTATACAATACAGCTTTAACTGAACATTTAACCTCAATATTTCTCATAGGCTAAAAATGATATTCTAAAGCAGAGTTTGTTGAACTTTTAACAGCTCTAAGTAGTAGGATTTTGTCGTAGAGATATCTGTAATTTGTAATAAAAATATTCATGACCATATTCTGATCTCCTCTTACAGCTACCCCTCATGACAGCCATGCTCAAGTCTACAGTTACAAGGAAATTTGTTTCAATTCTCTGTAGAGTCCTTACTCTTTACTATTGTTGAAACCACAACATAACAACATTCACTTGTCTTCAAAATTCTGTTAGTTTTGCTCAAGAAAGCCACTTAGAAGGTTCAACTATACATGTAACATTTTTTTAAATACATATTAAGTCTTCATAAGTGTTATTATGCAGTGAACAATTTATTGAAATTTTTATGGAAAGTTGAAAATTGTTGTAATGAAACCTATTGATAAAGTGGCCAGGCAAACTGTTGAGCCCAGTTGGTTGCTAAGGGAAGGAAGTCAATTTATGAGTGGTCAGACTACAGGAGCTTGAAATGCAGGGCCCTTATCTGGACATAAATGTTTCTGTAAACAAAAAAAAAATTTATTGATCATTTCATGATGTCCTTCATGAAGCATTTCAAAGTGGTATAATAGTTTCCGGTGAAGCGTTACCTGGGAAAACCGCACACCAAACTAAGGTCTTAATGAAAGTCTCTTTAATCGAGATTGAGAGAGGGAAGTCTGGGGCTTAGGGGGCATCTGGTGTAATTTTACATGACATTGTAAATCTCAACGAAATAGGAGTACTTTGAATTCGTCTTTTTCACACTCAAGCTTCAAATTCACTGACAGGAATCACGATCTTGTCCCTAAAAGATGGTGTGCGATAAATGTAAGAGATGTCTTTTTCCCTAATTGATAGCCTGATGTTAAACATAATGATGTAAAATGGGTTTAGGATAGGCTTTCTCCTTGAACTTTCATCACACAACTTTTAATTTTGTTTGTTACTGCTTTGATGACGCAGGTCAGAAAAAACTCGGGAAAGTGATTTGCCCTGATCCGTGGAAATCTGGAGCAAGAAACACGACAGGTAACAAAAATTACTACATCTTGAGCACAAGTATTCGACCCATAAATGACAGAGTAAGCACTATTAAACGTGAAATAGAACATTTAGTATAAGTAGGTAGACAGTACTGATTTTCTTGATCTGTGTCGATACTTTCTGACTATGATTGTATTATTTGCCTCTCCATTTAATTTTTAGAGGGTGGAGGAAGGAAAGTCAACGAAAACAAGCTTCTCACACAGAAAAAGAACAGGTTAGTGATCGACTGCACATGCTTAAAATGAAAGTCTAGTTGTAATAGAACATACCAATGTTGTGAGTGTTCAAGGCTGATAAAAATGCTAACATCACGAAAATTATGATTTGTGGAATGGTTAGCCCAAAAGATAGCATGAATTTCTGTCCTATGTCTTGCAAAATGGTTGAAATACTAGAAAATTACTGTGTTTACTCGTGTATAAGTCAACCTTTTATGACCAAAAAATTAGCCCAAAAAATCACCCTTGACTTATACACAAGTCATACACAACTACCTGAACCAAACAATCCAAGACACAAGCATAGCAATTGCCTGAAGCCTGTTAGGAAAACTGAGTTTGTTTATTGAGCATAGTGGGGAGCCACAGCTTGGCAATCAAGCTAATTTGCATTTCCTGTGCCTCTTGCAGTTTGCTAGGTTCATGGGATGATGTGATATTTTCTTTGCTCCCATTGGCAGCTGTAATTAAAAATAAGTAAATTATGATCCACACAGCTGAGGTGTAATTTCAGCAACTGCACTTAAGAAATTTGAAAAAAAATTTAGACTTTGGCAAGATCTAAACCTGTGCCTCTTAGATGAAAACTGGGGGCCACTACCAACTGAGCTACAAAGCTACATGTGGGTAGTGGGGCACATTTTAAAGGGTTCTCCTTTCCTGTGGAGAAACCTTAATGTTTAGTTTTGGTTGTAGGACACTCATTTTAAAGTGCTTTAGTGATAAAGTGGTTGGTTTTTAACATAATTGCTCACCTGTATCTTGTATCAAGAAGCAAGTGAAACTGGACTCAGTATCTTAGTCATGATTGTATTTCTAAGGATGAATTAACCACACAGTAAAGAAATCCCTGTTGTGAGCATTTTCCATGATGAAAGAAGAGACAGACAAACAACTTTCTTCCCTAGCTTGGACCACCAGCCTTTTGAAATTACTATTGAATTACAGTCAATGCTACCTTTATCAAACTCACCTTAACAAGCCACAATTTCTGGGAGTTCATATTTAAAATTTTATGAACACCATTTATGTACTCAGTTGAGCATTGGGTAAGCTGACAGTTCTCACTTGTTCTTTTTTCAGATTTAACCCATATACAACCTTCAATAAATGCAGAATCTGTAAACAGACTGTCCATCAGGCACATTCACACTACTGTCAAAGTATGTGAGATTCTTATCTAAGGGAGTTTCATCGTGACCTTGTGTTTTTTTTTAAGAATTAGAAGGCAATGATTTTTTGATCACTCACCCTGAAAGCAATGGTGAAAGGATGTCTTTTGAAGAATCTGTGTAGTTTGTAAGACAATTCTCTGCTTTAAGCTGGCATTTCCTCACCAACCTTTCTTTGTTTTTGTGTCAAGAGTGTTAGGATTTTGAAGAAGACTGAACAGACATTTTCAACATTTTTTTTTTTTTGAAGATGTCTTAAAGAGTGCAAACAATTATGTTCAAAACTTTACAGTGAAACCACTTGGCTGTGGCTTGTAATTTCACTTCAGTTTTGAAAGTTACTGACACAGTTTTAAAAGATAATAGACAAGGAAACTTTTGTTTGATTTGTTAATTGCCCAATGGCCAAATTTCACACAATTCTCTTTTTTTTCACTTCAACAGGCTGTGCATACAAGAAAGGTTTGTGTCTGTTTTTCTCATGTAGTGGTACATGTCAATTGTAGCTCAATCTTATCTGTTCATCATTCAATTTCAAATTTCATTGTTTCAGACTCAGTATTGTACTGTGCTGTACCCCCAAATAAGTAAAAAAACAACCAATTTAAACAACTAAAACCTGAAAATGTATAGCAACCTTTTGTGTTTGCTAATGTTTTCTTTATCTAAGAACTGTATACATAATGAAGTATGGGGCTGTATAAATTGCATGGTTGTAAATAAATAAAGAGATGAAAAAATTTGAGATTTGTTTGCATAAGGCTGGTTTTTTCATTTGTGACTAGCAAGGGACATGTGCTATTTAATGGAATGTCTTAAAACCAAAACAAACTACATGTAATTGCAATGGCCAGTCAGAACAAAGGGTACTATCCAGAGGGACCAATCAGAACAAAAGCAACCAAGTTGCAGTTTGTTTTAGTTTCACATTTGATTGGTTAATGTGGAGCTAGTTTCCTTGACTGGTCATAGAGCCTCATATAACATTTTCAAATACAAAACTTCTCAATCACACTTTTACCACCCATTTTAAATATGTTCTGTAATTCATGACCAATGCAAGTTATCTCTTTCAGGAATTTGTGCCATGTGTGGGAAACAAGTCTTGGACACATCAAATTATAGACAGACTTCCGTTTAAGAAAAAACGACTAATTTTTACTTTTATTGCTAAATACATGCTAAGCTGCAAGGTTGATAACTCAGTGCCATACCTTTATGTACATAACTGAAAAACAACAGCCATTGTAGTAACACCAGTAAGCAACTGTACAAATGTTTATTGTCAGCGTATTTTCTGGCTTTATTAACCCTTTACATTCCAACGTTAGTATTGGTATTCTCCATACTGTTCTCTTTACATTTCAAAAGGTACTGATTAGGAGAATTTGTTAAAAAATCAGGAACTTCTCAAATTGGTGATCATTTCCGTTATTTTCATGACCTTTACATGTGATTCAAGGGGATATTGTAAGGAGAAATTAAACACCAGTAAAATACCCAATTCTTGTTCCTTACAAAGGTTAAAGAACATAGTATTCAGTCCTAAGTTCAGTCCATGAAATTTTCTCAACTTGTATGTAAATAACTTCAGTTCTTTTTTTAACGGCACCTCGTTTAAAGAAGGTTTCGTTTATGAATTTACGTAACAAGGAAAAGTAGGCGTCAATTTGACTGAGTAGGACTCTGTGCGTGTATATCCTGAATTTTTCGAGTTTGCTGTTTAGAACTAAGGCGTCGCCATAATCGATCACCCTTTTTCTTCTTGGGGCTGTATTCAATCTTCATTGTTTGCTTTTCTTGACAATCGGATATTTGACAGTTCTCTTACGTTTTAAAGGGAGTTTTGACGTACATGTAGTTAACAGAGACTCGTAAACACTTGTAACGTAAATTTGTTTGATTAAGTGTTTGTTACCGAATCTTGTGTTCAGCTATTGCCTCATTCTTTTATACGTGTTGACGTAGACGTTTCTCCTTGGCGTGGAGGGCGCGGCTACACGTGGGGTAATTTCTTAAGAACCACAAGATAGGAAGGCGTATTGAAAATGATTCCAAAAGAGTAGAAAAAATTATGTTCCCGTTCACAAAATGTATTGGTATTAAAATAATATTTATTAACCTTGTACTGATTTTGGTGGTTAGTTCAGTTAACGGTGTATGTGGCTTCGAACTCGAGTGTGGTAATGGCGAAGAGGAACAAAGACCTGTGTGACAAGATAAAAAACCGCCTTACATGGTGAAGTCATTAAACCATACTAAAGCTTTATCAAGTAATGTTAATAGTAAATTTATCCCGTGACGGTTGACCCAATCCAAAGAAGGCTGAGATCACAAACGTATGTATAAGATCACAACTTGCCTGTACCTCAACTACACCACAGCAAAAAGGCGAGAGGTCTGACTGCCCCTGTCGCTTCCATGCATTGCAAATAGAGTAAGGCACGTAACTTATTAAAGACGAACTGATTTTTTAGCGTAAAGTCACGAACGTTCATCCTTCGCAAAAATCCACTCATGATCAGCATGGAATCACTTAACGCTTATCAACGATCAGCGTGGAATCACTTAACGCTTATCTACGAAGTAATAGCTATTCTTCCACGCTAGTTTTGTTTTATTTTCAACTGTTCACATGAAATATAATATCATGATTTTATCTCAATGTGCATGCCAGATCTCTCTGCTGGGTTTTCAACAGAATCATGTTCACTAAAACACCCAGAGACAGTGATAAAAGCGACATCATATGGAACATTTTTATCATACAGTTTTCAATCATCTGGTTTTAGCTATCCACACCGAAAACGATCGCACAGAAGCGTCTTCGATTCTAAACGACCTGTTTTAAAGAATACACTCTTTAGTTCGAAGAGGATACAGTGTGTTGCCTTCTCGCGCGTTTTTTCAGAACAAAACAAATGAATGAAATCAAATCAATTAGCCTAATGCGTAAGTAATTAAGCTACTAATTGAATAGAATCAAGCAAAATAACCACTGGAGCATTCGGCCAATTTGAATTCACATCAGTACCAATTTCTTACTAATCAAAGCAATAGCGTCAATCGGAAATACGTTCGTTAGTGTTTGCAAGGTGGTCCCGCAAAATAGGAGAACCCAGCTTTGAAGAGCGATGCTACCGACGCAAACCGACACAGAAGTAAAGTTACAAACAACAATTGTGGCGCATGCTCATTTTTCCTTGAAATTTGAAAATAGAAAAATATATGGAAAACAGTTTCTTAAAGAGAAGAGAGCATTCGCTCTGATGAAGGGCTAACGCTCAAAACGTCAGCTTTTGAACTCTTTACGGTGGCCAATTTACGTCATCAGCTCAGTTGATAATACTTAATTACCCTGTTACACTCTTCCACTGACGTAGCACCACAATTTCTTTACAAACTTACTCCCTTATTCGGGTGATTTCAAGTAGGCTGGCGCGTAGCGCGATGCTCATTCTGGTTGCGTAGTGCGATACTAATCTGAAATAATGAGCACCATTACTCCCAAAATTTTGCGACTCAAAGTCCGATTCCAAATCAGTTGTGTTAATAACAAATTGTGAGAAGCTCAAGAAAGAATCATTTAAAATAAAAGCGCATACATTACTCTTCATATGGACACTCCTAACCTGCTCACGTAACAAGTTTCCTTCATTCTGATTGGCTAGCATTAGTTTCAGTTCAGTTTCATTGGCTGATGGCTTAAAGTGCTTATTTGGTCTGTCCGCATGTGTGGTATCGGTTTGGACTTGGAACAGCCCATTAAGCTACAAATAAGGTTGTTAAGAATCGCTCAAATTCGGAAATCTTGCTATTAACTCCATCACATGAAAAAAAACGTTTGAAAACGATCTTTTTTTCTCATTTTCAACCCTTACAATTGACTTTGGAGGATCCTTTTCTATTCCGTGACCGGAAGTACAACAGTAGACGTACCAATGATACCATATTTGGTAATTAACGTCATTGAGTCTAATTTCAAAACTGCATTAGAAGATATAAATTATGAAGTGATTTGCTAACTTTTGACGACTTCTGTTGAAACTAGGATGCATCAGCAAACTCCAGACGCAATGAAATCTGTGGACCAGTCAAAAGATATAATGACAGAGGATAGCGGATACGATTCAGGAGTGAGCGCCCTCCGTTATGGACGGAGGAATGCCAAGTTCGATTTCAACCATGTCAAACGTATATTGCGTAAGCCCGAAGTGCATGTGGAGAGAGACAGACGGCGAAGAAATGCAATTTCCCAGAAGGATGCTGATGGAGAATTACATGACATGCAAACTTTCCCAAGTAACGGAGAATTGGCGTACCACCGAAAGTTGACCCAAGCATGGTATAATTTATCCAAAGAGGAAGCGGCCTCATTGAAGATCGATATCTTCAAGCCGTTAGATTTTAACGAAATTTTGATGAAAAAACTGAAGACAAGCAACAATGGAAAGGTAATAAGCAGTATGAAAGAACTGTGGGAGTAAAAGATCACTTGCCTGAAAAGTGAAAAATCACCCAAAGCGTTTGTGTAATTTCAACTTAAAATTATTGAGCCATGTATGTTGTAAGAATCTTATCTAGATATGTCGTGCAGGGTGATCACGAAGGTTCTTGAAATCATTTTTGACTA